TGATTCAAAGCCTACCTCTGTATAGAAAGAAAGCAGAAATCTTGCTATGTCGCCGCGCCTTTCCAATCCAATACTAAAGATGGTGGACGCTAAGCAAGCGTGGTTCCTTTGCGAAAGCCTACAGCCTTCCCGAAATGCACCTGAACTCAGTGTTTCCAAGATGGCGTTGTTGGCAAGGCGTCTCATATAAGATTGGTAAGTTTTGACGCTATTTTGTGGTATGTGGAGTACTATTTGAGAAAAATCAATGTAGTTTTATGTTTAAAACTTGGGATGCGTGGATTGATTTTTTGGATCATTAGTTCTGGTCGATAAGCGTATTTCGCCTGCGTGGCATAACTCGCCTACGTCACGGGTTAGCTCGCAAACATGATTGGTCGACTCGCCTACTATCGCATCCATTCAAGTTTCTTCCTTCTGCCTTTCCTGCTTGCGTGTTTGGTGAATTTGCCGTCGTTTACTCGCCCGTTAAATTCATTTGCGATCGCGGAAAAAGCGGAAAAGAAAGAATTGAAACCTCTTAATGTGTTTTTCTCAGTTAAAAATACGAAGTCATATTTTTGAAACCCGGAATCGAAGGCATTTACGTAGTCAATTCGTGCGCAATTACATCCATTGAAGTCTACATTCTGTTATCAAGTTCCCGTTTTACTTCAGCATCTACTGGCTGTGATTTCAAGGAGGCATGAATACCATAGTAGAAGTGATTCCAGAGGGTGAAATTACTTGTTTTGAATATGACTTATCTACTCAACTTCTGAGTTTAGTAGGTGAGTATTGGAAATCATTTGAATTACTGCAGTCCAATTTTGCATCAAAATTGGAATTTTCCTATATCATGAGCACGTTCTTTTTTTTCTTTTTTCTGCATAAGCAGATCCAAAAACCACAGAGCCTTTTGCCGCATCAGAGACACCCAATTATATTTCAGATGTTGCTCAGCCTATATCCACAGAATCTCATACATCAACAGTCCCACCTACCCATCAATCAGGTACTGCTGAGCTCATTACCTTCAAGTCCGAAGCCTCAACACTACCTTCTACTAGTGGTTCAAATGCACATTCTGCAGAGGCTGAGACTGTGGAGACATGTTCTTCCTCAGAGTTGTATGTGGCAACAATACCACTTACTGATCTTTCTGTACTAGTTGAACCACAAATCAAGTGTTCATTGCTAGAGGAAGACCCAACCACTCCAACTTGTGTTCCATTGACCTTCACTCTTGTTGAGAAAGCAACTAAGCGAAGAGGGGATAGACTAATTGATAGCATGGGCTTCTCCTATAACATCCGCCGCAAAGGGGCCAATATAACTCGTTGGCAATGTACCATTAGGAGGAAAGAGTTCTATTGTAAAGCAGCAGTAGTGGAAAGAAATGGTGTCTTCACCTTTGGGAATTTTTCTCATAATCATGAGCCTCCTAAACCAAGAGCCCAAACTCCCTCACGGAAGACCAAGACCAAGGCAGTGGTGGAACAATGCAAGCCTGAGCCAACCAGCACAGATGAGGTACTACACTTTCACTTGTTTTCTTTTCTTTTCATTAACCTCTATGAGTAACTAGAATTTCATTTCATATTACAATTTTATCACTAAATCAAATATTAATTGGTCATAAAAAGAAAGGAAATGATCACTAGCTAAAATAGTTCTTGATTCTTATTATAATAAACATATTCTCATTGTCAGTATTATTGGAAATGTGCAGAGAACAGTTTGGAGAATATACATACTGATCTTAGGCTGTAAAGGGTCAAGATTTTTCTGAAATCTTCTTTTATCTAGGGCCTCCTCTCAAAATACTTTTACCATTTTGTCACCATCTTTTAAGCACCCACTCAAGGCTCTTCTATCAGTCATCTTTCTTTCAGTTTCCTTTCTTAACCCTTTAATTCCTTGAAGTGATTAACATAAAACTTCTCCCTATAATATCCATACATTCTTCAGCAAACAGGTAATGAGAATATTCAAACTTATCAGGTAGAAGCTGCTATCTTGATCTAGCACCAAGTTCTCATAACTAATTTACAAGGAAATGTGTAGCAGCTAGAGGGGAGAATTAACAATCAGATCTTGGGAGTTAAAAGGTTAACTGAAGATTACTTCATTTAATCATATCATTTTATCACATTCTTTATTTTCAAAGAGTTTATGTGACATTTTGAACTGGTGTTTCAGGAAAATCTTCAGCCGACAACTACTCTATTCCAAGCTTTGCCTGAACCTTGTGGTAACATAGAACATTCAAACCCTAATGCTGCTCAACTGCCACCTAATGATAACCAGGCTGATTTGGTTGAGTCAGTTATTCAGACTTCACCACCCACTCCCACACCTCCAACAAATGTTCCTATGACATATCACTTGGTGGAGGAAGCATCTCTGCGGAGAAGGAACAAACTGATTGACAGTAAAGGCTTCTCCTATAATGTCCGTCGTATGAAAGCTGATAAAATTCACTGGCAGTGTAGCATAAGGCCAAAGGGAAACCACTGCAAAGCCACAGTGCTTGAGCAGGATGGTGTGTACACTTTTGGGAAACATCCCCACAACCATGGTACCTACTCAGGAACTCTAGCTGCTGCTCAAATAGTGTCTACCATTAAAACAAAGGCATTGGAAGAGTTATCCAAGCCAGCTTCTGTCATTGTTAAAGAGGTATTTCTTTCTGTCTTTTTATTTGTCTTTGCTGATGAGCTTCCTGTATCCCAGTTTCATTAGCCAAAAGTTACTTGCCAAGAATAATTCCTGCTACCCTGGATGGGATCTTAGGGAAGAGATGTCATTTACCGCCTGGGGAGGGGTGGAGGACTTTGGGGATCACATGATTTCCATGGGGGGACAGAAAGAGGGTCACTTGTCGCCCAAAGAGTATAAACAAGACTTTAAAAAATTGACTGCAAATTGACTGCCAGTGAGAGGAGAACCATATGAATACGACAGAGCCTTGTGGTGGAATAGCTAAACTTTACTGTGACACAACCAAAATCCCTAACTCTACCCCCTCTCCCCATGATAAATAAGGACCACTCTCTTAGTCAGGGGCAAGTAACCCCCTGCCCCCCCTCCCCCCCCCCCCAAACACACACACACAGCAAATTATTGAATTTACCTTTTTATTTTAAATAGATTCTTCAGGAAGCTCTGCCTGTTACCTCTATGTGCCCAGCTTTGCCCAAAGTGGACCATATTGTACGTGCAGTAAATCGTTTGCGTCAGAAAATGAGGTCAGAAGATGTGAAAGACCTCAATTTCTCCCTTAAAGAAGACGTCATTCCTCCAGGTTTTTACCAAGCGGAGGTGAAAGTAAAGAAGCGACGCCACCTAATTTTTGCCACAGAACAACAGCTGAGTCAGCTAGCTGCAACAAAAACTTGGTACATTGACAGAAATGACAAGATAGTCAAAGACCCCTTTCACCAACTTGTGTCAATTAGTGCGTTTGTTATGTCTGCAGAGTCTGCAAAACAAGTGCCATTAGCGTTTGTGTTAATGTCCTCAAAGAAAAAGAGAGATTACAAGAAGGTTAGTATACATATGACTCCCTTTTACTGCTCAGTCAAATCTTTTTAAAAGGAAAATAATGGTTAGAGCACTCTTCAAGTGAAATTTCTAATATCAAAACCAAAGTTACCTTGACAACCAATCACAACAAGGGAAAATATGCTTGTATAAAGACAAAAAATTATCCTTTTTTGAATGCATTATTCTTCCTTTTATCTATCAGATTTTGAGAGAAATCATTCATCTTCTACCTGGGGAATGGCTTCATGTGCAATTTGTTACGGCAGATTTTGACGAGGCATTGTGGGGAGCACTTCGTTCTGTTGTCCCACATGTAAAGCTGCAGGGATGTCCTCTTCACTGGACCCAGTTGGTGTGGAAAAAGGTAAACTGAATTTGTCAAGTTAAGTTAAGTCATGCACTTGTATTTTCATCTGAGCTCCTTGCACCAGCAGAATTACAGTTTTAGGCCATCAAGCTCTTTGCCCAACCCTCTCATTTCTTATCAGCCACCCTGACATGCTCCTACTCTTTCACTCTTATAAGTACCCTTCCCTATCATCTGGGACAAGTTTGTCTTGTAAAGGACTGTTTTTCTGAGAAAGCGATTGATAATTTCCCTCTCTGGTTGTCAAAACATTAATTGCTGTCCATCTTTTTCCTGACAACTCTCACCTGGACAATTAAACCATATTAGCAATATGCAATTTGCTAACAATGGCATCCAAATGAATGCTAGGATTGGCCAACCTCAAGGGCAAGTTCATGCATGGTTTATCTTTTTAATAGGGCAAGATGCTTAGTCCAAAAAACTTCGCATTTGTTTATTCTTTAAGTCATACTGCGTATGTTTACAAACCTTTTTTAACTAGAGATAGTAGTCGTGCTCTCCATCAATGCAAAGACTAAAAATTTTTGGCTCATATTTTTATCAGATGCAAGATCTTGGTCTGCAAGCACTGTGCATTGAGGATAATGGTATGCACAAGTACATTAGGAAACTGCTTGCATTACCCTTACTGCCTGGCAAAGAGATTTCTACTCAGTTCCAGCGACTAAAACTACAGGCAACCACGGAGACACTTCAGGAACTAATAAAATACATTGAGGATACATGGATCACCAACATTGCGTACCCCATCAGGGATTGGTCTGCTTATCGTCAGCCAATAAGAACAATGAATGACATTGGAAGCTGGCTGAAGCTTCTCAGTAATGAAACCAGTAGGAAAGGTCAAGTTCCTTTTTACACTCTAGTTCAGTCACTGCATCAAGTGGCCCAACTTTCTGTTCAAAACGTGCAGTTGGTAAGCAACGAAAAGTTGATCAGGATTCAACAGCAAGATTGCCATCACTTGCAGTCACAGATCAGTCAGTATTGGACTGAGTTTAGGAAAAGAAAACTAACAGCAACAAAACTACTAAAGGTCTGTTCCAAGCTGTATGGGCCATCTCAAACTGAGTCCTGACTTTCATATATCATGAGATTTTATTCATTCATTAATAAGCTTGTATTTATTTTGAACACTGATGTTAGATACCAGCAGAAGCTTAGTAGAACCTACTGGTAATGTGACGAAGTTTACTTGCCATGATTTTTTAAAAAATTTCTTTTGTCATAATCAAAATGTCCTATTTTTTTGCATTCAGTTTTGTATCTTGTAAAAAGTATTTTTGGGAAAATGTACATAACAGTTGTGTATTAGAAATATTATCATTAAACACATATGCTGGGGAATGTTGTTCAACCAGTAGTGGTGGTAGATGTGTCAAAATCTTTTACAGCAGTGATGAGTTTCTTTAACTTCTCAAGAAAAAAATTTCACTTAGGTTAAAAATTTAATTTATTACAGTGTAACATTAATTATTGATCATTAATAGCACCGTTGGGGTTAAGAGAATTGTTAATATTTTAATATTTATTATTTCTACAGTGTTGAAATACATATTGTATGATGTACTGCCACTGTTAATGTTGTAAGCACTGTTTGTGATAAGTATCATAATTCCAGTATGCAAGGTTGTAAGTGTTTCTTCATTGTTACAAAAAGTACTAGTATTATATTGTATTGCCTAATTCTAGTATGGCAACAGAATAATATGGAAAGAGGGCAAAATTCTTACTTGCGATAGCCACAGATTATCCAAACAAATTGCTCCCGCGTTTGGCTCGTTACACAGTGTCGTCTCTACCATGACACATATTACACGACGAACCTAAACACTTAGGTTAAGAATATGTCTTTGTTTCGACCTTGCGAGGCCAGTGCACTTGTCAAGCGCAAGGTACGCGCGCGAAGAATAGCAGCCCCCGGCTCAGTCTTGCGCGTGAGTGCCAGTGTCATTCACTCGCGTGACTGGTTCCTAGGGTTCTGTCTTCCCCGTGGAGAGAGGAACTTGGTAACGAGGTTCTCACTCGCACCCAATCCAGCGCGTGCTACGTGCCCTAGTCATTATTCTTAATAGCGGGTATGAGTATATTTGTCTTTTCTACACGAATATTAGCTTTCTTAGCATAGCTTTTGAGTGAAAATGCGACCGATTTTAAACATCGAGGCCAGAAAGTGTAATTCACACGGATATTAAAGAATAACAATTGGGGGATCAATATCAGTATCTGGGCAACTGCCCACCTACCCCTCCCCTAACTCAACAACAGTCAATTGATAACAAGTTAGGGTTAATGTTGGGTTAGGGGAGGGGTAGGTGGGCAGTTGCCCAGATACTGATACTGATCCCAATTGGGCCCGGCTGTTACAGCGAAAGCAAGACGTCATCTTCTGGACATGGACTTTCAACACTGATTTTATTACAGGATAACAGGGTAAAACTAAAAAACAAAACAAATACGATATGAGTCTAGTAGGATAAACCAACAGCTGTGGCTTGACTCGACTCCCAGACCTGATATCACATGTGGGTTGAGTTTGTGGTTGTTCTCGTCCTTGTTCCTGGGGTTTTTCTCCAGGTCCTCCGGTTTTCCTTCCTCCACATAAACCAAAATTCTAAGTTTTAATTCAACCTGGAAACAGTGGTCAAGATGAGCCACCACCTAGAATGTCCACTGCTGAATTCCATTCTTCTTCTCGTTATTATTATTATTATTATTATTGTTATTATTGTTGTTATTATCATTATTATTGTTGTTACTATCATTATTAAAAAAAACTACGGTTAACTATAACTTTATTGAAAAAACTACTTTAACAGACAGGTAATTTAGTGTTAACAACTGGGTTGAAAACGTAAATTAGCCACCGTAGAGGGTAAAAAAGCTGACGTTTCGAGCGTTAGCCCTTCGTCAGAGCGATTGCTCTGACGAAGGGCTAACGCTCGAAACGTCAGCTTTTTTACCCTCTACGGTGGCTAATTTACGTTTTCAACCCAGTTGTTTACACTAAATTACCTGCTATACTCTCCCACCGACGCAGCATCACAGTTTCTTTAGAAACTTACCCCTTTATACTTTAACAGACAACTGCGCTTAGCGCGACTTCTAGAGAATCTGACTGAAAAAGTGACTGTTTAAAAGAAACTGGGTTTAAATACAAGAGGACTGCATAATTACGTGCGGGACGAAAGCGTGTGAAAGTGAAGGTGTAACTGACGAAAAACGATGACAAACGGAACAGAAAACAACGAGGATGTATAAGAAAAGAATAGATAAGAAAAATAAATAGTTCCAAAACTAATTAAAAGACGCTCAGATCTTGCACTGGTAGCTATGAGAGAGGTCTCTAATTAACGAGATGTGTGTCTATTACCATTTCTTAGGCGATGCTGTTGTTTTTGGAAAGCCTATTTGGAAGTACTAGATGACTTGTCTAGAACCTTGATCACTTCAAATGATGATTTCACGAGGGGCGAAAATTGCTTTGGGAGCATCGTTCTGTTTTGCTTCAGCTATCATTTTCCTGGTTCATGAAATGCAAACTGCTGATCGTAAGAGGCTCAGAGAAGGTGTGATCAGAGATTTAGAACGACAAGAGAAAAAGAGGAGAAACCTTGAAGAGTTAGAACAACAGATCGAACTAACAAAGAAGTTACAAGAACAGAGAGACAAATGATCTGTAATTTCCTCATGAGGAGAACTTCACAGAACTTTGTGGGGACCATAACTCAATTGTATTATGGATTAAATAAATATACTGTGCAGTTTTGGTAATTTAAAAGTGAAGCGAAGATATAAGATCTATATGAAACAGAAAATTATTTAAAGTAAGCTTGCAAGATCTTGTTTCAGTCACCTGCTATGGTCACGTTACCAAACGATTTAGAGTAAAAATTAGTATCTGTGTGATGTGCTGAGGTATTCTGTTTATATCGTCACCACTGACTGACAGCCTGGTACGAGTTACTGGTTCTTTCACTTTGATCTAAGAATAGAGGTGATCTGCGTTCTCCAAGATAGCGTGTAAAACAGATGGATTTTTTCTTCTTGTGTTTTTGAGGCGAGCACGAGCCAAGCGCGGGTCGAACTAGAAACGCGCGTGGTGTGGAGCGTGAAAAAAATTGTTCCTACTCTATCGCGTGTTTGTTCCATAGCGCTCACCTGACACTGACTTCTGCCTGCTTGAAAGATGCAAAAAAAAAAAGAAAACCAGACTAGACAACTCAAGAAACACGCCTTGCTAAGGTGTGTTTGATCCGTGAACATCACGTTACGTTACTTGAGAACAATGAACTCTTCATTGCATAGACATTTAGCATATTAAGGGTTTAAAATGTACGTCTGGTATGAATAACAAGTCACAAGTTTTTTTTTTTTAACATCTTTTAAACAAGCAGAAAGAAGCGTTAGGTGAGCGCTAAGGACGAAAACAAAAGTCGTTCCCACTCTATCTAGTGCTCGGGGTGGCAATTTTTATCTCAGAACGGAAATTGAGCAATGCTTCGTGTATTACTGATCAGATTAAAAGGGAAATTTCCCTTGTTAAGTTGTTTGAACTGAAAACATCACGCCACATTTCTCGAGAACAATGAACTCTTCATTGCCAAGGCATTTAGCATATTAAGGGTCTAAAATTTCCGTGTGGCATAAATAACAAGTCATAACACCTCAACCAGTCTCCGGATAAATTTCGAGTTGCAGTCTCGCAGTTCGTCCGGTAATCATTAAGAAAATCAGTTTTGTGCATCTGCCGTCACGATATTTCTCGCTCGAACTTAAATTTCAAGGTAGGTAAGTAACAGTTTTTTTCAACTATTAAAGAAGTAAATTAACAACAGACAATACCGATAAAGGTCTTAGAAACTCAAAACTTTGTTAACTTGGCATAACACTCAATTTCTGATCATTGCTGTCAGTAACAAGATTTGACGTTTGGGGTGATCATCTTGCGTACAGAGAATGGAAAAGTTGTAAGCCGCATTGTGCATAAATGAAAATGCAATCTTTAATTTTGTACTCTTCAATTTCCTTTTATCATCAAAATGCGCAATAATTTGTTTTCTCGTGCTTCATGTTCATGCCATGCAAGTTCGTAATCCCATTCATTTAATACATATTGTAGGAGGTTAAAACAGAAAATATTAAGTCTTTGGAAACTTGAAAGAGTTTTGAAATTGCATAAACATTTCAATCAAAATATCGTGAAAGTATCATATCAGACGTGAAATTAATTCAAACGGTTTTCTGGCAAAGAAAACTCTGTATAGATAGAGTGGAGTTGAGGTTTGACAAAAATAGGTTTTGACGCTAAACCAAGCTTATTGAAGTGAAGTTTTTGAACGACTTTAAGTTCTAAGATGCATAGTCGTCCTGTCGTGTCGAAGTCTTCGATTTCTCGGTTTCTGCATTTTAATGAGATACAACATTGCACCTCGAGAGGGAAATATTTTAGTTATAATTACAAACTGCTGGGACTTCGCATCCTAATAGAAAGCGGATTCAAAGCGTACATCTTTATTCTGATACAAATTAGGATACGAGTTTCCAGTTTTTCTCAAGTTAATTTAGTTGTGTAGCCACTTTCTGTATCCACGCCGTCATGCACGATTGATCAGTGCGCATGAGCAATAAAGTAGTTATTTAGACGAGAATAACATGACGAAGTACTTTTTTTCCTTTTCCCCCTTACATACATCAACAACTGTTTAATTTCACTCAAGACGTATGTACGCTTGTACAAATTGAATCTCTTTCAGAATTTTGGTCTAGGATAGCAGTATCCCGAGTTAAAGCCGAGTATGGCTCTACAACCTTTTACGAATGAGCAGCTGAATTATTTCAAATTTGCCTCCATTGTACTGAATGAGTTCGCCAATGCTTTGCGTCAGACGTTCAAATCCATGTGGGACAACAGATTTGGACATCGTCCCGGGTATCAGCTGTGGGATGACTCCACGGTAATAAGAAATTTGTTTCTCGCTGAAGAAGGTGGAAAAACAAAAGTTCCTACACAAATCACCTATGAAGAATGGGATTGTACCGCCCTGTTCCAGGCCACCATCTATGCAAGGTCCTTCGCTACATCAGACAGCAAAGGTCATTACAAGACGCTTGGTGAACTGTACGTAAAGCACCGTAAAGTACCTCATGGAAAGTTTCATTCATCTGTTGTGAGTCCAAGTGGAAATACAGCCGAAACCTTTGCTCTCGCGATTGATCAGCTTCGACTTTTACGAAACTCGCTCTGTCACTCAGACAGGTCAGAGATTGATAAACCAACCTTTGACCAATACGTGCAGCTCGCCAAAGAAGCATTCACAGCTCTTGGTATCAAGACAGATCCCATTGATGCCATCGGTGGATTGACAGAGTCTGACTTTCCCACCAAAGAAGTTCGCAAATTGGAGGAAAGTCTTAGACAGGAGACCAGATCATATATCGAGTGTCTCGAAGAAGTGAGATCAGGTGTCGACAAATTAATAGCACAGGGGAATG